GAATTCAATATATTTCGTATATTCTCTTCAACCACTTACATATAATGGGTGACAAATTTAATCGTTTGGGAGCAATAGGTCAATACCAGAAATCGATGGTTACTTGCGTTGGGTGAAGAGCATACACGAAATCTACTGAATTCAGTTTATTCCGCAGAAATGTTCTTTGTTCTTGCTCTGTTGCAATTTTTGAAGGGAAATAGTTAACTGGTTAGTGGGAACGCCATCGCAACGAGACTGGACCTTAGCATGGTGTGATTGCGTACCTACGTGACCCATTGAGTTACGCTGGCAGCGCTTTCCAAATGCCTTCAGAGCCACTCATACCAGACAGATCAACAGTTATGGGTCAGATAAACAGTCTCGCAATCCAATCCTCTTCGGGGGTTAGGGAGAGGTCGATGGTCCTCTTCCTTTAAAACCTAGCCATTGGATACAACAAGTTTACGGGTTCTAAGCTCACAGCGCGATTGGAATAGAGCACGAGCGCCACGTATTGTCGCTGACAGTGGGAGGGCACCTCCGGGTGTTCCATGGTTTATTACCTCTCGCCTCAAGCCAAGCAGCCCCTGGTCAAATTGGTGAAGACCCGCTAACTCCAACCTGCGGCTGGCCGTGGTCGTAGGCGCATAACATAATACGGTCGTAAAACACATGTGCATTGTTCCAAATCTGCAAGGGCTGTGTGTGACAGGCCTCAAGAAGATCTAAATCTGGATCTGCGATCACACGCCCGAGCTGGATCTGCTCCCCACTGTCTTGTGGATCAGGCTATGGAGCCAAAGGCACTGACTGGTGTTTTTCAAGCGAACCTCGTCCTCCAGTGCCTTGTGGGTCAGACTGTTGAGTCACAGACTAGAGGTAGGGCGCTTCGAACGAAACCACGCTGTCGGAATGGGCAGCCGGAGAGTTTCATCTGCTTTCTCCACCACATCGACAATACTCCTTTTTCTTCTTACCTTTCTCTCCCCTCATTTATCTTCTTCCCAGTCTATTGAGCAAGATACTGTCGCCGACCTCGCTTCTGCTGCCATCGATACTCTTAACTCGTCTACCTTCACATTGGTTCTTTGAACTTTCGCACTTTGTGTCGGATCGGTCAACAAGCAGCACTGGCTCTCACTCACTCACTTAGTATTTATGTGTTTAGTCTCCGAAACACGCATGCAAGATAACAATATTGTGACGAACCTTCGACTCACTCATCTGAATCTGACAACGATGATTACACTGCGTCTCTGTTGATACTGAGTCAATGGCTCAAGGCGTTTACGGTTTCAACATCGCCTCTAACAAACATACCGTCGGTAATCTACTCGTTTGGATGCTATAAATGGACACATGTGTGCGTTCGATTTCGATCATTTACTGGGGTTAATAAGCACCGCATGAAGACAAGGTGCCTTTACATCGCCTCCGTTTACACCCCTACTGACTGCAGTTCGGACGGTTCCAGAGGATTTCTACTACCATCTTTCATGTCTTCTGCTGATGGTGGAGAATACTGACATCGTGGTGGTTGTTGGTGACTTGAATGCCCAAGTGAGGTCTCTTTCAGGTTCTGAACAACGCCTGGGAGGGCGCTTCAGAGTCGATGCATGCCGAACAGACAGTGGTGATCGATTCCTTGCAACTGTGCATCAACCACAATATTTATGTTAGAAGCACTGCTTTCCAGCACAAGCGTACATACCGCTTCACCGATTTCCTCAATGACCTGGATCCAAAGTGACCACATTGCCGTCAGTTACGGGTGGCGCACATCAGTTCAAGACTATCAGTCACTTTGGAGCACATGCCTTTATTCCGATCATGCTCTAGTGCCCGCACACGACGCTCACGATTCCCGCTTCAAAGTAGCGCCTACCTTCTTATTACCGGTACCTTGAACTCGCAGTCTGCCATTCAACAATATCACAACGAACTGGCCCACCAAAAATCAGCGATGAATGAGGTTGGTGGACCGAACACTGACTGAGATCATCTCAAGTGTGTCATGAAGAATGCCTTTGACGCATGCCGTGAACCCAACTTGAGACGACCTAACTGTATGGATCTCTGAAGCATCGAGCAGTTTAATCGAAGCGCATAAACGGGTTCCGATGAGCACTGAATTTCAGCGTATCCCTAACTCCCTGAAAAGATGTCTGACCAGGAGTTTTTGAATTGACCGGGAATGTTGGTGGATTGCAAAGGCCCGTGAGATGGAGAAAGCCAGTGCTATTGGAAACAGCCTAGTGCTATTCCAGCTCATCCAGAACACGGGTCCGAGAAAGCCATCAGTTAGCGAGACAATAGCTGAGAAAGATGGACTGTTGATCCATTCTCAGCGTCGTCGACTAGCCCGTTGGGCGGAACATTTTGAAGAGCAGTTCAGCAGGCCTGCTGCGACACTGCCGCTTGCCGAATCACCTGAGCCGACGTGGGAAGTAGATGTCACACCTCCCACTTTGGAAGAGATTCGACATGAGCTTTCCGTGTTGAAACGAAACAAGGCTCCTGGACCCGACGACCTTCCTCCATCTTTGCTGAAAGATGGTGGTGACTCTTTGTTGACTGGACTTGCTTCTGTTTACTACGATTTGAGGCACTGAAGAAGTACCTTCAGACGGCGACTATCAACTGTCATGCCCATCTTCAAGTAGGGTTAGCGTACTTTGTGCGAAAATCATCGAGGCATTAGCCTAATTTCCACTGCCTCAAAACCTCATGGGTATCATTCGTCGACGACTCACTTGTCCCCGTGATGACTGAATCACTGAAAACTAGGCTGGTTTCCGCCCTGGCCGCGGTTGCATCGACCACATATTTACTCATCGCCAAGTTTTAGAGAAGAGTTATGCAAACAGACGACCGATTATGGTGATTTTCTATGACCTGAAAACCAGCTTCGACTCTGTTGATAGAAACTTTTGTGGCACTGCCTATCCATGAAGGTCGTGCCAGCTAAACTCCTCTGCCGGGACCCCCGAGGCCATGTAAGGGTTTACGAGGAAGTCTCTCTCGACTACCCCACATCAAGTGAGGTTCACCTGGCTTGTTCTATACCTTTATTCTTCAAATGTGTTATCGTAATTATCACGTGTATCTCAGTGCTTGCAGACTCTGCCGGAGTGGAAGTACTGTCAAGTGACCGACTGACAAACCTAGAATATGCGGACGATATAGCTTTCCTTGGGTCTGATGCATCGGCTGTGCACTTTCTACTGCACAGACTTGTGGGTAGCGCTGTACGCTTCAGCCTATACTTTGCACCTTCAAATTGCTAAGTACTGCTGCAGGACTGGGCCGTCACACCTTCGGTTTTATCCATGGCCGAATAGCCACTGGAAGTGGTGGATCGGATCATTTACCTTGGTAGATGTCCTATCTCTCTGAGGAAGTTACTTCGCGGATCAGAAAGGCTCGTGTGGCTTTCGAGAAACTCAACCATCTATGGTGACGGTGGGATATTGTCATTAAAAGGTAGGGTGTATAACGCTGCGATAAGGCCGGTTTTACTGTATAGATCAGACTTGGCCAGTTCGTGGCGAGACATTAAATGCTTGTTCGTGTTTGACCACTAGTGCTTTCGGAGTATTGCTCACCGAGTGAGCAATGCTGAGGTTATCCGGCTGGTTTTTGACAAAAATCCTTTTGGTGCCTCACTTGTGTTTACTGCATCTTAGTCGCTCAAGTTGGCTAGGCCATGTCCTCCGTATGCCCGTATGCATGCATTTTACACCGTAGCCGCACCAATTGGGTGGAACCGCGAGGTGGCCAGTCCATGACGTGGCATAGTGTGTCGAAGAAATAGACTGAGACACCCGGTCAGGCGGGTACGTGCCGTCTTCGTCGATAGCGGCCTCGGGATGGCTAGAGACCGTATCAGACATGGGGCAGTCAGTGACGTTCTTACATACGGCTTCTTGCATCTGGTTGTTAATTTTCGTTCCATTCTAGTTAGTTTAACGCACTTCCTTCTTGATTCACTTTTCTTCACATTATATCATTTTTTAACCCCACTATCTTGGCGTTGCCGTTTAATGTTATTTTTGCAATGTGAGTCGTGGCAACTGGATCCACCGCACTTCGTTGCTTGGATCATAGTTGTTCAACTGAACTGAGTCTGTTGATGGATACGTTTCCCGTCCGATTTTGTTTCAACCCTTGGGCATGAGCTGGTTATGACCTTTCCGGCATATGATTATTTTGACCTCTTGTCGCGAGCTTCATTGATCTGCTTTCTAAGAAACGCAACTTCCTAGCAGGTGATTGTTATTTTTGTAGTCTTTCGGGGCTTTGCACCGGCTTTACGTCCACTGAGGTTAGGATGCCAGCCGACGGTGCCCTTTGAATCCAAAATGGTGCACTTGTCATCAAATCTTTTGCTACTGGTATCACTGCTAGGGTTGTTGAAGTCGCGGGTTATACACGTTTCGGGGGATTCCCGCGCTGTCGGTTAACCTTGTGCTTGCCTACGCTATATTTACCTTTTGTTTCCACCAGCGACCGTAACCTTCACGGGTAGCTTGTTTCTGGCCATAATCTCAGTAGCTATGTTCCTACAGCCTATCTTCGCTTACTGCGTCGACTTCTCTTGCTCTACTCCACGGTTTCTGATTTCTACCACTGGCTAGCAGTTGTTTCGGGCAGCTCTTGATTGTTGCTTTTGCTTGCTGCCGCTTTACTGGGCCAGTCCGAGCATTCCCCTCTGCAGTGAGTTTAATTCCTACATTACACCCAAAGTTTCGGTCACTCAATCGCAACTGAGCGATCAACTTACTTGTGGGTATCAGGGGGTTGCTTGCTCCGTAACAATCCAGTTATACTGCAGTCCAGGGGTGCACTATCGTTTAGCGTTCATTCTCTTCACGAAACCCCGCATTGCCACTAAGAAAACGGTTCTCCATCACTGGTGAAAGGAATACGCGATGCTGGTGTGTTTCCTGTTTCCTCCTGTTACATGCATGTCCACGATGCCTCTCTCTGATAATGTGCCGTTGATATTCCTCCCTAAGGTTGCATCTGGTACCTCCGAACGACCCATTTCTTCAGGGGATTCAGGACTCATTACGTCGGCTCATTTGGTGTCGAATGGAGACGGCGATGAGGACGACGCTGGTCTGGATGCGATCACTCCCGATTTGAACGCAGCGGAGAAATTCAACCAAGGCACCGGCTACGTTCCGACTTTCATCAAGTCAATCACACGCCATTTACCACAACGTTGGGTCAACTGGACTGTGCGCTTTTTCACCACTGTTTTACTCCTGAGCACATTCAGCTTTTTGGTCTATCTGGGCCCGCTGGCTCTCGTCCTGCTGGTAAGCGTACTTTACATTTCGACCACGTGTTTTTGGTTTGTTACCTATACCTTATAACTGCATTGTTTTTTACGGGCCATTCGTGTGACCCTCCCTTTCAGTTGCTTTCAACCACCTCACCCAACCTGCCTAAGCAGTTTGTTCCCATATTCCATTTGCTACTATTCGGTTTACTTCTTAGTACCTATTTCTGTTTTTTCACATCCTTGCATGCGCTTAGTCGTCCTTAAACCATTTGCCTCCTGCCATTTTCCTCTTATGCTGCGTACTGCTTCCCCTGGACGCTTAACATGCCACCGGTGTGAAATTCATGATATATTACTCTCGGGTAGTTTTTTCGCGATTAGAACAGTGCTCAACTCGGAACTCTTCCGGTGCCTTTCGTAGACCTCGGCTTTATCTGTGGATTCAGGTGTCCTTCGGTTAAAATGAGTCTTGGGCTCGCATAATTCCTTCTTTTCGTATAGCAACACACAACCTCATTTGTTGGAAGTGGCACAGCCTTCCTTCCGACCTGCTGCTCCCTATTTATGCGAACGCTCAATTACCTCGATAACCCGACCAAAGGATTTTTCGCCAGGCTGATATATTAAGAAACGGAGTTGGCCAGCGGGACAGGCTTGCTCTCTGTCATTCAACTTTATCTTGGTACCTCAGGTGATGGAACAGAATTTGGTTCCGACATGTAACCTGATCCCGTTTTTTGTCCATCCATCCAAAGCTTCACACAACTTTGAGTTGCACACGGTGATGTGTGTCTACGTATTCTGGTTTCATAAGCTATTTATCCAGCGGTGAGTGCACCTAGTAGGTGACTTTGCGCACGAAAACGGATGTGTATTTATGGTTACACACGAATGTTTAGCTTACTGCTTGTGATTTATGTGGTATCTGTACCGCCCAATATGTGCTTTTATGACTTGCGCGAAACACGTTCCGGAATAGCATAAGTCACTGCAGTTACTATTTTAGAGAAGTGTGGAAACAATCGGTTGGTGTATTTTGCCTTTAACACAAAGGATTTGTCAGGCCAAATGAATCCGGATACAATTGAGTTGGACTTTCATAGCGAACAGTTTCGATATTCGAAATAACAACGATGAGTCGACATGTTATTACAGTAACAGGTCAGGATGTCACCATAACTGTCGTCACCATTAGCGGGAATAGTCCATGTGTTTCTTCCCGCATCATCCTACTCTCAAGGGAATTTCTTCGATTGGCGCTCTTTGAAGCGAACTTGTATGTTTAGCACGAAGTATCATAGGTGCAACTTGACCGCCAAATTGCGTTCAGTGTTTCCAAAAACTTTTTCAGACAGTGGATTTACCTAGCAATTGAACATCTAAGGGAGATCCACCTCGACGCAAACCTTGCTGAGCATTGCTCCAATGAACACTTTAACCGCTCCATATTACTACTATTATTATTATTACCATACTATTAATACTACTATTATTCCTACTATTATTCCTACTAGTACTTACTACAACCACTACCTACTACTACTACTACTACTTTTAGGAAGGGCTCGAAAATTACGTCTAAACTAGGGCAGGATTCATACGCCTGACTAATGCGTACATTTTTGCGCCAAATGTTTTACTGGTGGTTCTGGATCTAGTTTAACTCTTTTAATGTTATTACTTTATCAAATACTTTGAATGAATCAGGGTGTATTTTATTATAAAATGGTTTGACCATTACCATCAGTTAATTTTAACCTATGTGCTGATGAAGTTTTTCTCAGCCTTGAGGGCGCAGTGACAAAGTTATCTGTTGTAAAAGTGTAGCATATTCGTTCACCGTTAGTAAATATCACCGGGGGGGGGGGTAAATCTCGTAATAACTGAACGTGGAAATCCTTGGATGAAGACCGTAGTATTATTGTCACAAAGGCTGCCAAGGGAATAACGTAGGTTGTGCTGGACAAGTCAGACTATTTTTAAAAGTGGAACAACACTTGGAAATTAGCTCGTATAAAGTAATTGAAAATGTAACAATATTGACCGTAATGAATAGGACATAGTCAAACCCACGATGGAGTAGATAGCGACGGTAGTGTTCCATACGAAGAGGAGACCTTGGAGGAAACTCAACGTGTACTGAATAGGGTGGATATAAAGTGTTCTTCCCAAAAATAGGACAATTAACTGCGTTTAAAACTAATGCCCGTGCTCATACATACGTGGGCTAAACCATGAGAATGTTATGCTCACGGATTTCCGAACTCAGTGGTGCATTTTACAACCACGGAAGTGCACGTTGGGTTATATAGTATTGAGAAACTTGGTCGTGGCTGTGCTCGCGCTGCACATAGGGCATGCGATTGTTTTGGATAATATCGAGATCATTAGGAGTGGTTTGCGACAACCACCTCAGTGGTTTATTTCCAAAGATGTGGACCTCATCAAATTGGACAGCTGCGTGAGCAGAACAGGGGATGATACCCTCGGCAATTGGCGAGGTATTTTAATCCCTCCCGACTGAAATGCGAAAATTGGCCCACCATCCTCACCATCAATAACGTTTTGTGTCAATATCAGAACGTTTCCCAGCAGCTAGGTCAACTAACTTTTCGTGGACCCTCCCTAACTCGGCTTCTCGATCAGTTCCAAGTATATTCCATGATTTCGATTGCAGTCATTCTTTAGGTTATTCCTCCGTTCCCAAGACGGTGACAGAAAACCTCGCTTTGTTTTTCTAACTTTATTGCTAACTTTATTTGCTCTCACCTCTTCGAAAGTCTCGTCTTGTACGCTACTTTAGCACAAGCAACGCCAAATATAAATTGCTAGGATCAACTGTCGTAGATACTTTACTGTTTTGTTAAGCTCCAGCAAGCGTCGAAATACGAATTGTTCTTCTATATTCCGAAACGTTTCTGTTTCATTTTTCAAAACTACTCTCTGTGCATCACATTAGTCTTAATCGATTCTGCCTGTGTTATAAGCAGCTACTTAATTCGGCCAGTGGCCTAAAGGTAACAAGCTTGTCTTGTAATCTGACGGCGCGGTTTCGAGCCTGCGTAGGGGCAAGGCGACCGCCACAGTAACCTTAGCCCAAGTGCGACCGGTTGTGGTTGCGCGGCAGCGAAGTCTCGGTACTGCCTACCGGCGTACTGCTGATGCCTTTGCCTACTTGCATCCCGATGTTAATCACGACTCAACGACCGCCACGAGTTACTTTAGCAAATCTTCCAGTGCCTGCTCAGTTTACTACCCAGTTTACTACTGCTAGCTCTAGACCTCGATGTGGAGAAAGTGACTACTGGCCAAATCATGACAAATTTCCGCTCATTTTTAGGGGCATATTCATTGAGAATTAGATTGCCGTTTTCAAGTGCTTTTGCCTGCCACCTACTTGTGCAGCCATTTAAAGGAAACGTCGACGCAGCGTCTATGACGAATACCGCTTCAACCTTCTGTCTGCTCCGACTCAGTCATGATGGAGCGGAACTCGAGCCACCAGGTTGACTACTTTCCCTCTCCCATTAAGCGGTTACCACGAGCATCGCCTTGGTCCTCACTTTTTCCGTTTACCATGTTGAACGGAAGATTACGCAACCCGTTGCACAAGCCACTTGTCCAAACCAGCCTAGGTAGTTTGGTGGACCAGCCCCTGCAGTTCAAGAACAGCAACAAGACGCCTGCGCGTACAGAGGGGCAACACCGGCTTGTGCCACACCACCCACGCTCCATCCACACACCCTAGCGTAAACCCGAAGGGACAAGACCTGGAGGCATGTGGATGAAAGTCATGTTTCGTCAACGGAGCAGGCCCACACTCATTCAACAAACAGAGAAGAAGCATTCATGTCTGACTTGGGAATCATGCGTGCCATACGTAAACAAGGCGGCGGTTGTGCCGTTCCGCACTGGACGCATGGAACCACTGGTGAGCCCAGCACCGTCGAGAGGACCGTGCACTGCTTCCCCCCCCCCCACCCCACAACGATTCACAGTCTCCTGGAGCCAGCAATCGAGGTGGAGGGTGTTAGGCAGTTAGGCATCTTGTCAACACACACATCAAGCGCAGCGAACAAGCTTGTTTTTGATGGTTCGAAGCAAACTAACACACCACAAAAGATAGTAATACAAGTAGCACAGGGTATTTAAATGCGATGAATCAATGCAGCGAATTGACCAGTGGGTAGATGCTGTTGATAATTGTAATTATTGCGAAGAAAATAAATAAATCGCGATGTCTGAAACCTTTACTTCGTCTTAATTTTCTAGCTTTTTTCACTCCTCCGTCTTACTTTTTGTCTGCTTCTCTCAGATACATGTTATCAAATCGGATATTTTACCCATGAGCGCATTGCAGTGGTACTACTTAGAACGTTCTTCTACCACGTCCGGATTCTCTCTCATCCCCACTATTAACTTATCTTAATAATACTTATATTTCTCACGATACGAGCGACTGTGCCGATAGCAGCACAGATCAATTAGTGTAAAATAACCATGCTCTTGCATGAACGATATGCATATATGTTGAATATTAGGCCTACGCTTCAGCCAATAGCGTTTTGGTGGATGATTGAGACTTATTACAGATGCTTGGGTGAGGTGTGTTTCCACTTCTTATCTGGTCATCATCCGTGAGGGTGCGTTATGATGTGGATATGATGATGAAGACCTCTTGAACTTCATTCCAGCTCGATCACCATAACAATGCCGCATCCACTTATTTGTCAACGCACATGAGTTGCGTTTGATAAACATAATTCACTTCTTTATTTTTTTATACGCTACCTGTCAGTTTTCTGTGATGGGCTGATCTTTCTGACACTGCCTGTTTTAGTATTGAGGCTTTTCTGGTCTTCTTAACTGCCCAACAGCAGTTCAGTTCTATCAAACAACTGTGATCCAGGCGTCAAATTATGGCGGATCCAGAGCATCCCCAACTCGCGTCACCTGGTTAACAATTAATAGTGAGAAGTTGAGGTAAAGAAGAGTGCAAAAGGATTGCTCGAAACTAAACAGAGTGGAATGAAT